GAGCTGGAGAGGTGGATTTGATGCCTAGCTGAGTGGTGACGAGTTGGAGAGGTGACTCTGATGCCTAGTTGAGTGGTGATGAGCTGGAGAGGTGGCTCTGATGCCTAGTTGAATGGTGACGAGCTGCATAGTTTACTAGTACGATCTGCAAGAAAACAATGTTAGAGTGCCTAGGTTGTTTTACCCGGGGTGGGCACTCCGATGCTTAAGTCAGCGAATCAGAGATTTTTAAGATAACTAAATGTGAGAGAGCTGGAGAACTGTGAGAACTAAATTGTGCATCTACCCGGGTCTCAGGAGCTGATACACTTATATAGCTAGGTTGCTGTGGGTCTCATGAAACACTTATGGAATCCTCAACCCATGACGTAGAGGTCCGTTCTGCTTTGGAAGGAGGATAACATGCCAGTTAATAAGGCTTACCATTTCCCTTCGATTCGGGCAAGATGAGGATAAGGCCTAGGGTTACACGGTGTCCCAAAATGTTCAAAGACAACTGGTAGGCTTCTAGAGATCCGCTACGTGTCACTTTGGCAGGTCACCAGGTCAGCGGTAGAGGCAAGTCGCCAAGTTGCTAGGTCGGTGACAGAGGTAGGTCATCAGGTCAGCAGCAGAGGTAGGTCGCCAAGTCGATGGAAGAGGTAGGTCGCTAGGTCGGTGACAAAGGCGGGTCGTCAATTGGAACCCCATTTTGGCTAAGGCAAGTTGTCACCTAAGTGATGCTAGGATGTAGTCCAACTATTTTGAGATGCCATGTGTCATGATGTCAATGGAGGGTCAAATCTGCCCTCATCAATTGCCCCCCACTCTTGAGCTAAGGTTAGCTCAGTGAAGGGAGTAGCTTTATTGTAGGTCCTTTGGCCTGTTACCAACATATTTTGAGGTCGGATTAGGGCTCTTTGATGTTGAAAGCAATTTGGCTTCCCCTTGTAATACGTGTGTCGCTGTTGGCATTTGAATAGTGGGTCGGTGCCACGGCTGCTTTGTGTCAATCCTCAAAGGTGCTGGTCATCTACTCCTATGATAAGCCACAAGGAGCTTAACCTACAGGGGCAGCTCTACTAACTACAGGTTGCCAACTCACACTGGAAACCTGAAAGGGCTCGACACGTAGGGAGATTGTAGTCTATTGGCCGCCAACTCCCGTAGGAGCCGCAAAGGGCTCGACCTATAGGGGCGACCTCACAAACAGGGCTAACAAGGCTCGTCCAGGCTGATTACGTGTGTCGCCAAAGTGGATGGCCGTTACGTAGTAGCTTTGAACCCATGGTCGATACGCTTTTGTATTGGCGCGTATTGGCTGATACTATGTGATACGCGCTGATACGATGGCGTATCGAACTGGTAGGATACACCTGCAGTCGTAGCATATTCAATATCAGTGCAGTCCGATATTAATAAGATATACCTAATACGAGGCATATCGTATCGATATTTTAATGGTGCTCTTGTGAGAATTCAAAAAAAAATAATATTATCTTGCACCTTAAATCATCCCAAGCCCACACAAACCCTTCTTTTTTCTCATAATTGTTTCCCACTCCACAACAACAACACTGGTGATCTTGATCAGGCAGAGGAGAGGTTTTTTTGCTATGCTCTATGCTTTTTGAGAGAAGAAGAAGCTATTCTCACAACTCTGTTTCTCTTTTCTTCTTCTTCTTCTTCTTCTTCTTCTTCTTCTTCTTCACTACAGTGCAGTGAGTAAAGTCAACCAACCTAGATTGTTGTTCCTCATATTGTTGGAGGAGAACCAAAAAAAAAAATGCTAAAAGAAGAGAAATATTTTGCTGGAAGAAGACGGGAAGAGAGATGGGAAGATGGGGAGAAATATGGGTGGCCACAAGCCGAGCCTTTCACGAGCTATTCGAGCTCGGCTCAGCTTGGTTTAAACTGAGCTTCGAGCCAAATTCGAGCCCGATATATAAACTCATTTGCTAATCAAGTCGAGCTCGAGCCCAGTGAAGCTCGGCTCTTGAGGCTCACGATCCTAGTATTAAATAAATAATTTTTATTATATATAATAAATACATACATGCATACATATATAATAAATAATTTTATTATATATAATAATAATTTTATTTTTTATGTAAAATAGTAAATAATTTTATAATTCTTATTTTTTTCTCTAAAAAATAAAAAATAATTTTATACATATAATTTTTATTTTAAAAACAAACTTGGCTTATAGTCAAGCTATGAACCGAGCCGAGCTCAAACCTGATGCTATTCCTACGAGTTGAGCTAGAATAGCCAAGTATTGGCTTGGCTCGGCTTGGCTCGAATCCACCCCTTCTGAGAAATAGCAGCGGCAGTCGTTGCTCTTACGATTGTTGCTTGCGAAGCACAATGGGTGTGCCCCTATAAAAACAAAACAAAACCTTTTGTTTTTCATCTCTTAACAACGCCCTTTCTAAATATTAATGAATTTTGATTTTGACCCTATTTTAAGTTTTTTATATTTATATATATTTTTTGTTTCCGTTCTCTCATGAAAAACTACAAAATTAATATGGCTGATTTATTAATTTATTTTATTGTTTTAAAATTTGTTATCATTTTCAATTATTGATTTACCATTTTTTAATATTTTTTTATTTATTTTATAGTATTCTGTACTTGTTTTATATTTTTAATAATATCATATAATCTTTTTTGTATTTTGTATTTTTATTACTATTATTTCATTAATATCTTTTGTTTTTCATATATTTATTATATTTATAATAGTTTTTACTATTTTATCTTTCTTAACTTTATTTTCTAATTATTAATATTTTAAATATTATTTATTAGACTTTATTTATTATTTTTTAATATTTTATTGTATCAATATCCATAGTATTTTATCTTTTTTCTATTATTTAATAATATTTTATATATTATCTTATTATTTTAATAATTTTTATTTAAATAACAACTTAAGGGATAAATTTGTAAAATGCACAAGTTTCAATTATTCCAACATTCAGATTACTGAAGAACTCCATTATATTCATAAGTTTACAAAATCAATAAAAGCAATTAAACTTTTGAGTAAATGCTTTTTGAGCTTTTTCAGATTTTTTTTTTTCTTTTCAGACTTCAAATTTACCGTACGCCACCTTAGGATCAATTTTAGACGATCTGCGCTTATCAAACATCGAAAGTTTTATACTTTATTCATTAACTAGCGGAGACCCGTCGATGGGATGACTGGCTTTGTTAGACGAAAGATAGACAATAGAAACAATAAGAATAGACATGTGATAGGTTGGTGATTGGATATTCGTTTGTCAACTTTGAATCAATTTGAGACAAATCTGCGATTGGATATTCGTTTCATACTTTATTCATTAATTTCTTCTGATAGTCAACATAGAAATTTTCATTTATTGCGTAGAATACTAGAATTCATGTTTCAATTAATCTGTAGTGGTGGCTTCTGCAATGAGAGCAACGCATTTTATCCCCAAGTTGATGAAGCTGCAAAGCAACAATAACAAACATAATCAGTGCAATTAGGATTTGAGACATTTTGAATCTTTGCGCAAGCCATCTAATTTAACCGGGTTAATTACTCTCTGATGCAAATAAAAAAGAAATGAACGATTTGGGTAAGCCTAATGATGACTGCATACCTTCTTCTGAAAGTACCCAGTTGTCGTCACCGGCGACGTGCCACGCGAAATATCCGAGCAATCCTGTCTCCGTAGCATATGAAATCTTGTCTGCAATTGCCTCTACATCATCATAACCGATCCAAATCGATCCAGAGTAACAGTAATTGGCCGCAATGGTCGAATTGTATACTGTTGTTGCTCCATTTGTCTCAATGAAAGCCTTAATTTCTTTGTAAGTCATCGCACCGGATTTCGTAACAGCGGCGCCGGTAGCCGGTGCACCCACACCGTTGTCTGCAGGGTCAGCCAGCGTCCATGCGTAGCCATAGAAAGGCAAACCCAGAACTATTTTCTGAGGAGACAACTCGGCCCCAATCCAGGCTTCGATGCCGGAACTCGTGCTGACTCGATCAGGCAGATCGTAAAGAAGAGCATGAGCACCAGTAAAATTATACCAAGATGGCATGTAATAGTCATAAGCCATGACGTTGATCCAGTCCAGATTTCTCCCAATTGAATCAACCGGAAAAGTTACTGAATCAAGAACCGAGGAGTAATAAACGGCTGCAGTTAAGAGCAATGGCGACTGGCCAGAGTTACTTGCCTCGGTGTCCACAGCAGCTCTCCACTCGTCTAAAAGCAGACCCATGTTAACCATCTCAGTGTCGTTTCTGGGAGATTCCCAGTCAAGGTCGAGCCCATGGAAGCCATAGGATCGAGCAATTTCTATGGAGGAATCGATGAATGACTTCCGGGAAGAGGGTTGACTCGCCATGGAAGCAAAGTAGGAGGCATTGGAGTTTCCTCCACCGATGGAGAGAAGGGTTTTGACAGATGGGTTGTTTTGTTGCAGTGTGCTTGTGAAGGTGGAGAAGGGAGCTTGGTTAGCGGCGGAGATGGTGACCTGGTAGGTCTGAGGGTCTAGATCAGCGAAAGCACAGAAGAGATGTGTGAAGAGAGAAACATCAATCTCAGACGCAGCTAATCCACTGTCTGGGAACCAGTAGGCGGCCTTAACGGCATCTTGGGCTGCCAAAGGATGAAGCTGCAGGAGGAGAAGACAGAAGAGGAAAGGGAGAAGATTTTGTGAGGCCATTGGGGAGAGAGAGTGCCTTGAACTTGCACAACAGAACTTGTATTTATGGATAAATATAAGCTTAGCTTGGTGGTTCTTTTCCCCACTTTCTATAAGAGGAGAAACTGGTCAAAACAAGTTACATGAATTTGATAAGAAAAACAAGTTACAATGTAGCTTGTTAGATGCACCAAAATTAAATATAAGATATTTATCTATAGGCATAAGCCTTAAAAAAAAATCTATAGGCATAAGCCCAGAAGCCAAACCCGGCCCGGCCCGGCCCAGCCCAGCCCAGTCCAGGGATCACTACACTACTCGGTTGGTTATGGTAGATCATTTTAACTGGTATGTTTTGGGGCGGGTAATGTGCTACACCAACGTTTTAAAAAACGACCTGGAAAGAGAACCGTTTTGGCCACCGGTTTCTGGATTGATGGTTTAACTGTTTAGTTCAAACGAATAATTCATTCTGATAAATAAATAAAAAAAATAATAAAAAATAAAAATGGTCAAAAACCGTTGAATGGGTCGACGGTTTGACCACCTGGGTCAACGAATTGATGGTTTAACTGTTTAGTTCAAACGAATAATTCATTTTGATAAATAAATAAAAAWAATAATAAWAAATAAAAATGGTCAAAAACCGTTGAATGGGTCGACGGTTTGACCACCTGGGTCAACGAATTGCTGATTTTTTTAATGATTTTTGGTCAAAAACCGGGTTTGGGATAAAATGGAACCGGTTTCCTAGACGGTTTTTGGGCCGAATGGTCCGACCGTCCGGGTCAACAGCAGTTCGAAAAACCTTGGACTACACAACATGGTAGAAAATGGACAGATACAAGTTGTAGACTTGTAGTTAACACTGTATTTGGTTGCAATGCAAATTTATTTGCACTAATGCAAATTCTTATTTATTTTTATTTCAAATTTTATCTTATTTTATTTAATTGCAGTAAAAAATGAAGTTAAATAAGACCTGAAGCAGAATAGAATAAAACCCAAAACAAAATTAAACCAAAATTTGCAATTTTCATTTATACTCCCTTGCATTTATAATAATGCAAATAAAATTGCACTCCGACCAAAAGCAGCCTAGACCTTCTGCAACTAGCTGACATATTCTAACCACGGGTACCTAATTTGACGGTTAATTGGCTGTTTGCCAACTGTAATCTAGCGAAATTCTATTGATGAGGCATGATTCTTTTTTTCAAGATAAAACAAGGGGACGTTCTAGTTTTGGATTTTGAGAGGGGGGAAAGTTGGTCAATGGGATTTTGGTTCCCATTGACCAAGAATCTCATGTTCTTTTTTCAGTTTATTTTTTGGGTAAGTGATACCCATCTCCTAGATGGGTAAATATTTTTCCCACTTAGGGGGCGTTGTTTTTTCAAATTCTGAGAGGGGGGAAAGTTGATCAATGGGATTTTGGTTCCCATTGGCCAAGAATCTCATATTCTTTTTTTAGATTTATGTGGAGACCAAGGAAAGTTTATTTTCTTGGGTATATTCATCTCTTAGGTGAGTAAATAACTTTCACACCTAGGGGGAAAGTTGCCAACACTTGAATGAGACAAAAATGTCATTTTTAATAATGGATTTTTATGGCTAAAATGGTTATTGCCTTATTTACATGAGAAATAAAAGAACATGGGCAAATGTACTTTACCTGGGTAAATGTTTCACAGGAAAAACTTACCCAAGTAATTGCATTTACCCGGGTAAGTAATTTACCAAAAAACGAACAAGGCCTTAGGGAGAAGTTGCCAACACTTGAATGGGATAAAAATGCCCCTTTTAATAATGGAGTTTTATGGCTAAAATGGTTGTTGCCTTATTTACATTAGAAATAAAAGAACACGGGTTACACTTACTTGGGTAAGTGTTTCCCAAAAAAAACTTACCCAAATAACTACATTTAACCATGTAAATAACTTACTGAAAAACAAATAGGGCCCAAAAGTATTCCAGGAGCAAACAAGGCCAATATAGGGTTGAAAAGTGTTGGTATTCATTGATTCTCTTTTTGTGCAATCTTATAATTGATGTTTTAGAAGGTAATAAATTTTCTCTCTATTTTTTCAGAAATTTTAATCATAATTCAGTAGTAGGGATGAACACGAAACTGCTTTCAAATGATGAAATTGAAGAATTTCACTCAAGTATGTATATGAGAAAAATGACCTTTTGGATCCACAATTAAATAACTGTAAATATTTATAAGAATGTCTTATCCATGTACGACAGTAATAACAGGAGTTTTTCTGTAAGAGCATGGATGGAAATCCATTGGTTTTGGTTTAGTACTTACAAGAAAGCATAAGGGTTCATTTGGTCCGTGGGAATAGGGGTCTATAATCAGATTTGGAATGGGCATGCTTATTTCAACTGTTTGGTTGGTGGAATTGGAATCCTATTCTCATTCCAGGTGGAATGACATTCTTTCCTCCCCCTCTCTTGAGAATAAAATCCTATTTCAGCTGATTTCAATTCTCATTCTGATTCTTGTTTGAACCAAATAGACTATGGGAATAGATCATTTTTATTCCAATTCTAACAGATTTTGATTCCGATTCCAACTGTGAACCAACCAGACTCTAAGATTTCCATTTGGTTCGTGGAAGCAGGGGTCTATAATCGGAATCGAAATAAGCCATTCTAATTCCTACTGTGTGGTTGAGTAGAACTTGGTGGAGTGGTATTCCCTCATTTGAGGGAATGACCATTCCCTCTTCCCTTGGGAATGAAATTTCATTCAAACTGATTCTGATTTTCATTCTGATTCTTATCTAAACCAAACATACTATGGAATAGATCACTCCGATTTCGGTTTTGAGGGATTCTGATTATAACTCTGACTATGAACCAAATGGATCGAGTCGTGTAGAAGATTTACAAGTGATATCTGAAGGTAATATATGCATGATTCTGGTTATATATGCTGTAGGGGGTATTCTACAACATGAATGTTTTTGTTTTCATTTGTTTTTGGAATTGTCACATAAGCAAAAACGAAAAAACAAGAACATGTTCTTTAACTCTTTTATTTTTTCAAGCCTGGTAAGGCAATTTCATTAAATGAAGGTCAGAGATATCGGCATCGACATCCAATGTTAATCTTTTGTACATTTAAACCAAATTTAGCCAAGATATGGCCTGCCTGATTAGCGCTTTTAGGCTGTGTTTGGGTGCAATGCAAATTTATTTGTTCCAATGCAAAACTGTGGTAGTGCAAAATATTTGGGTGCAGATTTTGATTTATTTTTGTTTCAAATTTTATCTTATTTTATTTAATTACAGTATAAATGAAATAAAACAAAATAAAGTAAAACCCAAAACAAAATTAAATCACAATTTGCATTATTTTTATTTACACTTCCATCCATTTGTACTAGTATAAATAAAATTGCACTGCAACCAAATGCAACCTTTGCAACAAAACTCAATAAGCCAAGAGGGGAATTATGAAGAAGATCTCTGCAGTCGGCCGTGATCAACTCGAGGATTTACAATTGCAAGAAGCAATGGCGGAATACCCCCTTATTCTCATTAAGTGCCTGAATTTATTCCAATGTCATTCTTGACACGCATGTTCTTATGTACTACTAATTTATTTCAGCTGGGTTTTAACTTGTGAAAATCACATGATTCTCCACGTGGCAAAAATGGGTGGAGTTATCTACCCATTCTCTTGATCTTGTTTGATAAAAGATCCAATATTAAAATCTTCGGTCAGGGCAAAGCTCGTTTGAGCAGTGTATGTTTTGAAAATTTAAAGAACTGTTAAGGCTATTTATCTTTTAAATGCTTCCTATCAATTTTAAGGTTGCATTTGGAATCAGTGTAAAACATTATTGATGTAAAAATACATCGACGGCATTTTACACTAAGCCATAAAAGTGATTGTTGCTTTTTGAAAATAGCAATGGGTGGAGGAGTGCCGATGAGGTTTTACATTGATTATGGACGTAAAACTTCACTCCATCCAAATACATACAAAACTGAACCGAAGTAAAATTTTATGTCGATAATAATTATACCCTCTTTTCAAAACACCTACAAAATCAAACCAATTCTTAATTTACATCGCATCCAAATGCAACTTAAATGCTAAATATATTTTAGGGTGTATATAAATAGTTTTTGAAACTATAGGATACGTTTAAGTAATTTCCTGGATATTATCCCTATTATTTATGAACGAGCTCAGGTCTTTAAAATTAGGATCTTTTGGAAATAAACTTCTTTGGACGTGATAGTCCAAAGAAGGTCTCAATCCGTGAAGCAGGGGCAGTTGGCACTTGGCAGGGTACAGGCCCAAGACCCATCTACATATATCTTTTATTGTGCTATTTCAAAGTTTAAATGGGCTAGATAGGTCAATTTGGGTTAAACCCACAAATGCTGGGCTGCTAATGGATGTGATCCGGCAAAGGGTTCAAAGGTCCATCCAACTAGAACTCGGTCCAACTCTCCCAATTGCCAACCATAGATTAAGCAAGCTTACTTCATAAAATTGAAGATAGTTGCTGGAATATAAACACTAATCAGTATTTTACTCCTCTCTATTTGTAACTCTGCAGCTTGTGCTGCTTGTCTTATATGCTTGTTCCATGCCCAGATAAAGGAAGAGCATCTGTGTCAAGCTGATTGGTCCCCACATTTTTGGTGTCGGTTGATTGGGTTGGGTATATGTTTTTTCCGGTTTGATGTATTTCCTTCATCATATTATTGCCGAACCCTTTGATGATATGTGGGGAGTGGGGACTTACTATATAATATAACCCTTTTTTCTATTTCATCACTCGGGAAAAATTCCTGGGTATCGTTTGTCTAACAATAAAATGTCTCTTTCATAATTTATAAATTTTCATTAGTTTGCATAAAATTCAAGTTCACCCCATCTGTGATCGTGGCTCCTGCGATGAGCAATTGCGATCTACTTCCATGTTCATGAAGCTGCACAGTAACATTAATTAATGCATAATCAGTGTAATTAGGATTTCAGACATTTTAAAGCTCTGAGAAAGTCATCTAATTTAACTCTGTTTACTTCACTTCACGTTGAATGGTTTCTTAAGAACTGGTATTGAGATCTAGTGTCTGAGGCTTTGAGCCTTACCAATTTGCCAACAGAAAGCCTTGTATGTAATGCTATGTGATGGCTGCGGCGTTCAAAGCGGACCCAATCAGGGCGTGCACGGAGCAGATCTCGGCATGCAACCCGGAACCAATGGCGTAGATGCACTTGACGGCCCCGAATGATTGCGCCCCCCATGTCCAGACTGCATCCTGACCGTCTGAACCCACTTACCTCCGGATGACCTCAAGTATAAATAGGGTGCAACCCCCTCAAGGTAAACATCTGGAACTTGGGCTTAAGAACTCACAACTCCTTTTGTGGCCTCGTCTGAGTGTTTTCTTTTCAGGCCTCGTCCACCTCGCATTGCACCCCTACTAACTTGATCATCTGAGTCTCCGCCTCGGATGCCAACCCGGGGCCTCTGACGTTCTCCCTCCTTGGCTCCTTGCAGGACCGGCCTACCAGCCCTTGGCCACTCCAGACCTCAGATTACTCGACTGTGCCTTAGCTCGGAAGCGACTTGACAGTGTTGTCCTCGGCCCATTCTGACCGGTAACACTATGCGAGCCAGATGTTGCTTCTAAAAGCCTTAACTCACAACACTAATATATAGTTGATTTATTGATTTGTATTGTTGTATTTCTTCAAAGACATTCATATGGACGATCTAACCCACTAAGTCCAATATGCTCCTTTGTTCACTGTGCAATGTTGTGCTATATCATATGATATGCACTGTCACTGATATTTGCACCATGAACTTAGAGGTTTCTGAATAGGTGTCTGTTTTCTAACAACCCTCTCACATATGAAAGACTATTGGGTTTCAGCATGGACAAAACACAGGCCCAACCATACCATGTATATTGAAATTTTAATTAATTATAATAAAGGCAACTAAGATTGAACACTAGACCACTTGGTAATACCATATCAACAAAGGCTATTTAATCAAGTGGTATAGTGTTCAATCCTCATCACCCCATTATAATTAATTAGATTTCATCCAAATGAATGGATGAACTTATTCATCAAGTCACACAGGGCATCCTAGAGAATAAATTAATACTTATTCATCAACCTCTCCTAACACTTATGCTTGGTACCTCCTTTTTAAATGAAGGCGCCGGTCGTCCATTTACACTTATTAACGTTCTGTGTCTCTCTTAATGATCTCTGAAGGGGGAATGTTAATGCCTCCTTACTTGATCTGGAAGTACTGCTAGTATTTGGAGCAATAATGATGAACGTGGATATGATTTGAATTTGGATATTTAGTGGGTCTCACGATCCGATGGTGATTCGAGATTAACTAAACTAGACACTTTATTCCATGATCGTAATGAGCAGCCTTAATTTGAATTGAGGCAGCATAGGAGCCTCATTTGCCATAAAAAAATACAAAAAAAAAAAAAAAAGAGCTTGGTCCATCCATGCTTGATGATTGACCCATTTAGGAAACAATGGGTTCTGTTTCTAACACATGCTCGTGAAGCTACTAATTCATAGCAGTTGAAATCTTTTATCAATTTCTAATGTCCAGACATAACTTTTGCTCACATAAAACTCCAACATTGCAGCAAAATAAAAGAAAAAAAAAAAAACTTCTACTTTCCTTACTCCTCTTGCCTTCAACTTTCGTCAACTATTCAAGGCTATCCCACGTTGATGAAGCTGGAAAACAAGATTGATATTATTCAGTGATTGCAGAAGGAAATCCATTCTGAGCAAAAATCAAGACACAAAACAAAGAAGAGGACGAGTCACAACGACTCGCTCAGCAAATGGGTAATGATGCATAATTCATTCAACTCACTGGGTTTTGGTAAAATTAATGGATACGAAGATGAAGATCAGTCGTCCAGTACTGATCGTTACGTACCTTTTTGAGAAAGCACCCAATTCTTATCGCCTCCGACGTGCCACACGAAGTAACCGAGCAGTCCTTGATCCTTGGCGTAAAAAACCTTAGTTTTAATTGCCTGCACATCATCATAACCGATCCATGTTGTTCCAGAGTAGCAGTAGTTCGCTACGATCGTCGAGTTGTATATCGACTTGGCTCTTTTCTTCTTGATGAACTCTTTGATCTTTCTGTAAGTCATTTCACCGTCTTTAGTCACCGCCGGCCCATTTGCTCGTGCACCCACACCGTGGTTTCCACTTTTCTTCAGCTTCCATGCGTAGCCATAGTAAGGCAGACCCAGAACTAGCGTATCAGGAGCCAACCCAGAGTCGATCCAAGCACGAATGCCAGAACTCGTGCTGACTCGGTTGGGAAGGTCGTAGAGGAGGGCATGCGCACCAGTGAAGGGTGCCCAAGATGGTGTGTAGTAGTCAAAGGCTACGACGTTGATCCAGTCCAAGCTCCTCCGAATTGAGTCGACTGGGAAAGTCACCGAGCCAATATCCGGCGAGTAATGAACAGCTGCTGTTAGAATAAGTGGTGACTCGCCAGACTCATTTGACTCGGCATCCACTGCCGTTCTCCACTCGTCTAGAAGTAGACCAAAATAACTCATCTCGTCTGCAGTTGTGGGAGATTCCCAGGCCAGATCAAGGCCATGGAAACCGTAGAATCTGGCAATGTTTATCGATGAGTTGATGAAGATCTCCCTTGAGGAGGGGTTCTTCGCCATTGAGACGAAGGAATGAGGGTCCGTCTCTCCACCGCCGATGGATAGAAGGGTTGTGATAGATGGGTTGCTGCATTGGAGTGTTCTGGTGAAGGTGGAGAAGGCATCTTCATTATCGTCGGAGATGGTGACCTCATTTGTGTCAGGGTTGAGGCCGGCAAAAGCACAGAAGAGGTGGGTGAAGAGAGATGAATCGATGTCGGACACCGAGCCACTTCCACGGTACCAGTATCCAGCTTTAACAGCATCTTGATCTGCTGCAGAAAGCCTAAATAGGAGGAGACAAAAGAAGAGAACGATATGGTTCTGTGAAACAAAGGCCATTAAAGTAGGTTGGGAGCTCTTGTTTGGTTATTTGCTTAGAGCTATGGCTTTATATATCATCAACCTCTGTGTGAAGCATACTGATTTTCAGCGTGTATCAATAGAAAAGTTGAAGATATCACTGTATCAGCTGCATTGATCAGGTAACCCATGTACTATCATGCTGTAGATATCACTGCAGCGTTATAAAATCATTGAAGAGGTTAAGCAATCCGAAGCATTCAATTTGTAGGACCCATCTAAACAATGGGCTTTCTGTTAATTTTGGAAAATGGATTACTGTAAACATCATTTTGATCAATCGGTTTTCTTATTTTTGAGAATTGAACACAATGCATGATTGCATGGTGCATGTATTGGACATCATTTGTCTCTGGAAGTACAAACTTAGATGGTGTTTGGTAACTGTGCTAATTCATCCTCATGTGGTTGTTTGTGCCAAATTTCTATTTGGTACGCCCGTTTAACAAATAAACATTTGTTTTAGGGCTTGTTTGGTGTGTCTTTTTGGAAAGATCTTCTAGTAGTTCTGACATGTAAAAGACAAATTGAACTTTTGCATGAAAATCTGAGCAGCCCGAAGCACATTTGGCAGATGCATGTCTTTTTGCGTGAGAATAAAACACAAAAGATGCGAGAAGCTTCATTTAGAGCTTCCTGAAATCAGCCCAAAATGGGCTTTTCACGTCGTTTTGGCATTTCATCTTTTAGTGGCTAGATCTTTTGCGAGTCAAATGGGAATAGACCGAAAATCGGTCTTCCTAACTTGTAAACAGCTGAAAGACCGTGCAAAAAGACATGCCAAATGGGCCTTTAGTTTTTGTGTAAGCCAACCATTGGAAAAGCTTCATTCTAAAATTTTCCTATTTGGTGTTTATTTACTGTTTTGTTTGTGTGGCGCCTAATGGCACCTAACTAACTATCACACAACAATAAAAAAATATTTATCAATCATTTTCTTTCTCGGTTTTTGAATGCTTTTCAAATAAAAGGAAACCATACCAAACATCACCTCTATGCAATTGATTGGATAGTAATGAAAGGAATGTATACGTAGCATGCATTTCTCACTGTATCCTCAACCATGTAACGTCCATTGCATTGCATGGGTGATGAATCTCAGACCCATTGAATAACCCAATGGACGGACGTGAGGTTGTTTGTAGATAGGCCCATTTACCACTCCCTTTTGATAAACCTGGTGGGTTTAAGTTAAGGATCATCTCTACAGATTACTAGTTAAGTCCTGAATATGCAAGGCTCATGGAAGGCCTCAATCTTTTGCTTTTCGTTTTTTCTTTAATCAAATTTATATACTAAACACGGTTATCCATTACAAAAGGTATATAGAAAGGTGGAACTCAGAATTTGAAGAGAAGATGAGAAAACCTTATAAAAGATAACAATCAATTTGTTATTTATTTTTGAAGGCAAATTGTGATACATACTTAGAAGAGAACCAATTAAATACAAATAATTAAGATAGTACTGAATGTAGTAATTTCTTAAGGATCCTTTTGGCTCGGTTTTGGAAGAGTGCAAATATAAATATGTTCAGTGCAAAACCTTGTATATGGTATTTTTTAAGTCTTATATAGTTGTACTGTTCCCAAACTGAGACTCTTTCAATGTAAAATTGATGGAAAATATTTCTGAAATATTTGAGCTATATCTTTCTATCTTATGATTAAAACTTTGTTTTCTTTACCATTTACATTGAATCAAATAAAAAGGGGTCAATAACAAAGCTTTTCTACAAAATGGGTGGAAATAATAGCTGAAACATTTCATCCAGAAAAGTTTTCTGCCTATTTCGTGGACAAATAAATGCTGCTGCTTATTACTTCTTCCTGTGTAAGTAATCCGAAACATATTCATGTTTAGAGATGCAATAGGTTATATTAATTGGATTCAAGGTCTAAAACTACCAACAGCAAAAGAGCAATTAATCCATTTTGTGAGTAATTCAAAATGTTATCTTCATATTTCAACTGTACCAGCATACATATTAGACTCCTGCTCTACTGATCTTGCGTTGAGGTTTGGGTGGCAACACGTAACTCATTATCAACGCCACATAGAAAAGTTGTTTGCTGTAAAGTAAATGCAAGGTCTAATAGGGGAGATTGAATTAGTCTGTGACCCGCTATTTATGGACTGGCCCATTCCAGGAATGAGTCCCACTGGTTTTAAGTGGGCCTGGGCAATGGGTTTGACGTTGATTTTTTGGGGTCAGTGATGGCCTGATGGGCACGGCCGTGGTTGCACAAAGCAATTCTAGCCTAAACATCTTTTCTTTGTAGTTAATCTATCTATACACATTAAGGAAATTGCTGACCAAAATCAAGTAAGGCTGAATTTGGAAGGAGTGCAAATATATATAAAATATAAGGTTTTGTACTCTACATAGTTGTATTTGTACTCCTTTCAAACTAAACCGAAAGGAAATTTGACATTTAGGCCCTGTTCATTTTCACTTACCTGGGTATATGGGTTTATCGGAGCAAGTATTTCTAAGGTAAAACATGCCCGGGTAAATTCAATCCCAGAGAGCGTTATTTTAGTGTAGGTAAGTTACTTACCCACCCTCTATGAGGGTCTCAGTTACCCATTCTCCAAAACCTTCACTTACATGGGATCCAATAAACCAGCAAATGAATGCAGCGATCGCGGTCAACTACTCAATTGACCAATTTACCCCTACTAAATACCAGCAAATGAAAGGAGCCTCAAGCATAAATTTGTGTCTGACATGGACCTTCTGGACTGGACTGGGTTATTAGCATTTACAGGTTGGATAGTGTACCTGGCTCTTACTTGGCTCAGGAAAGGTGTGTGAGTGTGCATCCCTCAATTTTCTGTCAAACCAAACATAGCCTGAAGGATTCATGAATCTAACACAGGCTTGGGTTCAGCATATGCTGTAGAAACTACAATTTTTTTGCTTATCAAGAATTGGGATAATAATTAATGAGAAAGTGATTAGGCAGATGATTTTGCTTATCAAAAATAGGAAAAGTGAAAAACTAAAGAAAATTATGCTGACTTTAGCAAATACAGTGGGACAATATAATTTGACAAATAGACTTTTCTAAATAGTCAATAATTTGAGCTAACTAGGATACCCCCCCCCNCCCCCGGCCCCTCATAATTAAGGTAAAGAAAAAGACATACATCCACTATTATGAAAAAAAAGAAAACACACATTAACATTTTGTAGGACAATCAGGGGTACTATTGCCTTTTCATAACCCTTAATTAAGTTCTTACGTGTTAATTATAAATACACTTCTGCCTGTATAATCAGTCTATTAATTCAAAGTCAAAAGTTGCCCATTGGTAAGGTCTTGATTTGAGGCATTGGGGTATGAGAAACAAAAATGAACAAAAGTGTTTTGATCATTTGGTAAAAGTTACTTTTCAAAACATAATAATCTAAAGCCAAAACAAACACAACCTAAAATTGGAGCTTCATATTTTTGGGCTTTAAAACTACAAATCCTAAGGTTTATTCAAACACAACCTAGGTTTATATGCAGTTGCAAATATCCATTTTGATCAGGACTTCCTCTTTAATGCACCAAGACCTAGTACAGTGGTACTGATCTGTCCTCATGTCCATAAACTTTGTTAATTCAAGTGGAATCCTATTGAGAATTAAGAAACATGCAGAGGGCATTAATATTTGTGCATTAAAAGGGAGGACTATCAAATCAGGCATATGTTTATTAAGTAGGTCTATTGATCATTTGACTGTATTCGAGAATTAAAAACACACACACACAAAAAAAAAAAAATGGAACAGGGGGCTATGTATAATAAATTATAAATATGAACATCAAATGGATTTTTATTTATGCCATATTGCCTTAAAATCTTGTACTTATCCCCTTTATTACTAAGTAATTTGAAAACATATTCCCTTGGTCGCAAACAGTTGATATCCTATGTTCTTAATAAGCTGGTTTGAATGTGTAATATCCATCCTACAAATAAATATTTTTGTAAATCTAATTGCGAAATTACCTAGACATCCTATATATATATATATATATAATAAATACCCAATGGTTCACTTCCTTAGGGTTATTTTGGTCATTTTGCATTTGCAAATTAAAGGGGGTACATGTACAAATAATTTAATAAGCCACAGTTTTCGTAATTATCCAATTTAAATGCCATTTGGGTGCAATTAGTAACCATATTAGGAGGTGATTAAGTGCCAAAAAAACAACATCTTAAATGACCAAAGAATGCCGTGTACGTAGTTATTATTAATTGCAGCTTACATGTTAATTATTACAAGTTACAACACCCCATTTCTGATGTGTAAATTAATTTTCTCCCATAAATTACCAACTCAAGCTCTCCAATCACCACAATATTACCTCGAGCTTCACCAATTTTACTACGTTCTTCTTCTCCGGCCGAGAGAACTCCTACTCTATATAGACTCGCCAACTTCATTCAACCTAGACTCAGTGACTAACCCACCGGAGTCTGGACCCCATATGCGAGTAAAGCCCATGCAGTTATTATTGAGACCGTAAAATAAGGCATGAAAATGTCTCCCCTGAATTTTCTGATACATTTGCAAGTAAAGCCCATATGGTAAATCTTTTTAAAAATGGCACGAAAAATGTCTAAAATACCCATGATTTCTACAGAAAAAAATAATACAAACTTTATCAACAATAAATACAGATAATTTAATGTTGCAACTTTACCTTTGAGTGGTTGATATAAAGGGCAGATTTGAAAAATAAATCAGCTTCAAAAAACAGATTGAAAAGATTTGGTGTAGTGGTTTGTATAAAGAGAAAATTTGGAAAATAAACATTTTTTTAAAGTAACTACATGGGTACTTTAGACATTTTCTTGCCTCTTTTTAAAATATCCTACCAAAGGGGGCCTGCAACTGTCAAAAATTTTAGGAGAGATGATTGCCATTACCATTTCAGGGAAAGTTTCAGCAATAACCAAAAATTTCAAGAGAGATTTCAACAATTTACCCTTTTTTTAAACCCTAACCCA